AGCAGGAAGAGCTGAATAGAGCACAGAGCAGGTGAGGCAGATGTTACCAAAGGTAAGAGTTTGGTCCCTCTTTATAGGTAAATATGGTGGATTTGACCCATTCTTTCACTTTCTGTACAGCTCAATCCAACTCCCACTGAGGTAAATAGGAATCACATAAATGACTTCAAATGGGCATCTGGGCATGCCTTAGCCCCGGCATGGCAAGCTCGCGCTGTGAAAGTTAGTGGAAACGAGCTATTAGATAGCATTGTCACAGAAATACACATTTACAAACAGTGGTACTTAGATATGAGTTTCTCTATGGAAACAAACTTCTTCATGTGGAAAATAAACTTTCCCATGCAATGTCCATTCATCTAGCAATAACAAAGATAAAATATCTTGCTGTCACAATTTGATGTATTTAGCAAGTGTCACTAATTACCAGACCAGATTCTGTGATGTTTCTTGTTCCTGTGAAAGTCCAGGACAAAAAATCCAGCTCTCATTATTTATCATACTCCGGCCACACTCATTTTTTTATTCAAGCTCCTATGTTCAAGCTTATCTTTCAAATTAGTGCAAGTCCCTGAAGAAGTACAGCAGGGAAATACAAAATAAAGCTGAAACCTTGTGGAACGTAAACTGTATATGATCTGACATGAAGAAGAAACTACCACATCACAGAGACAGGACTCCTAACAAAAGCTAATGTATAAATTGGCCTGAAATACTAGGTCGCTATAAAAAAATGTATGAATTTATTATGAAACACTTTTTTCAATCAAAATGCTTTATTATCTTCTGCGTAGCTGCAAGGGGCACCAGCCAGATCACTCGGGCACCATTCTCTGATTTCAAAGGGGCTATAACTGGGTCTTCAAAATCTTTCCATATAACGGGTTGGAAAATCAGTTGCCTAGTAATTTTGAAAAAAATCTTGCATATGAATTAGCATTCTGATTTTGTCAGTTTGTGCCAGTGCCAATGCCAAAATGCATTGGATTGGAGTTTAAAAGTTTATCTTGAGATAAACTTGAGAGTGCATGCAACTCTCAGAGTAACACATAAAGTCAGGCTTGAGTCTTCTCTTACAGTGATCCATCAGCTAGTCATCAATGGAATAGATTATTTACTTTTATCACTAGCTCACCTGTATTCTGTGAAATTATAAGAGCAATCTACTCTTAACTTTAAATGGCTATTAATTAAAATTCAATACCATCTCCTAAATCAGCATTACATTATTTTCTCCTCCTTTCTTTCACTGTGTGAGGTAATAGAAAACCTAGACATTGCACAGCTGATATTGGATGTGTGAGTAATTTGTAAAAGAAGTACTACCTGCAGCTTAAGAGCCTCACCGCTATTCTTAATTAGAAGAGGTAGGTTTAACCAGTAATTTTGTGTATGTTAATAAGTATGACAAGTATTTTTTTAAAAAGGAGAACAAGAACAGAAAGTGTATTTTAAGCATTAAACTATGTGGTGGAGATAAGCAGGTATGGCTCTGTCTAAGAACAAGTAGGATACTTAGATGTCTTCCTTAAGAAAAGTATTAAAAATTAGCAGGACAAATTCTGTACCCAGAGACTTAAATATCACACTTTACAATGGATTTAATAGACTTAACACTCAACTGACAAAGCGATAAACTCCATTTCAGCTTGTTTGTTATATAATCCACAGCATTTGCTTTAGCTACATAATGTAAGTTTGGGAGAACGTGTTTTGAGACCAGACTAAAATAACTAGACACAGAACTCGTGATGAAATTAATGGTCTCTGCATGGATGTAATCCACTAGCTGGGTTTGAAAATGTTGAATTCTGAAGGCAAGGAATTTCAGGTAGAGAACAACCTGGCTCATTTTCATACTGATACCTTAGGAAAGGAAGGATTAATTTGTGCAAACACTTCACACAAAGCTGTGACAGAAAACCAGCAAACTTTGACTTTGCTTCGAGGCAGAGTAAAGCACTATATAAACAATTTGATCACTCTCTGAAATTTCATGAAGTACAGCAATCTATGCTTTTGAGATTCTTAAACCACTAGTTTAAAGGTTTTGGTTTTGTAGACATATATACAGATGCAGGTATATTATGACATTTAACTGCTTCATTTATTAGGAACTGTATTACCGTGTAAGTTCCAGTCTTCGTAGTGGAAGAGATTCTGTGGGAACAGTGTGTATGGACAAGTAATTAAATATATGCACATATTGTGTAACTGTTTTCCGTTAAGTGAACCTGTGAAAAACGCGACATCATGCCAATTGTTTTTCAAGTCAAAGGTAGGAATCCAGCACTCCTTAGCAATAGGTATAAATTTACGTTGTCATAAAGCTTTCAGAACACACAATATAGCAAAGACAGACTGGGATCTTAATAGCAATGATAAATCACTACAACTGTAACACACCATAGTTGATTTGCAGTGGTGTTGCCATGAATTACTAGTCTCAACCATGTAGCAAGAATACACCTTTATATACATGTAGTTTATTCATATTTATATTAAATAGGTATCTCATCAGTTAGTGTAATAATTATATTTCAGTATCTCAAACATTCAAGGAAAAGGAAAAGAACTATTCAAATCCTGAAGCAAAGTTTCCTATTTATCAAAAAGTACCTAAATTTTTTCAGGGGTGGGAGGCAGGCAGCTATCACTTTTCTGCATAGGTGTGACATACCACATATGTTTTACTGTGTACGCATTTTTCTGAAAATATGAAGGAAAAAAGAGAGACTGTTGTAGAACAATGTTTTCAAATTCAGCTGCAGTAATACACCACTGACAGTCACTAGAGATAGGATTCAATTGGTAACAACTAATTTTGGTTGGCAGAAATGCTAGAGGCTATCAGATTACCTTCTTCTACATTAAGAAAAAGATTTACTATGAAACTCACAACCATCAATCCTTATGAAACATTTGCTGCTTTTTTGTTAGCTTCTGGTATGGTTTACCTAAATGCAGAAAACTGATAAAAAGAGGTCGTTCTCACTGTCTGTCTGACCGGCTCTTACGAGGCGGGGTGGGAGGGAGGATTGGTAATCTCCTGGGAAGAATTTATTGCAGTTTCCAACTAGAATTTCGTGTGATAGAAATAAACTCGCATGCTCCAAAGTGCAATCCCAAATATATTACTTTGCCTCATACAAGTGCTGATTTAAACTGAAAAAACATTACCACAGATTAATAAAACCCTAGAATTTTCTGTGTGTCTGTGCAGCTGAAGTTACTCTTACTGCTAACTAATCTTACATTGCTGACCTGCATCTCCTAATTCTGCCTACCCAAAGAATAGTATTCTCTTTGTGTTGCTCTTTTGGGGGTTGTCTAATGTGTATATTTCCTTGAATTGGTTCCCAATTCAAAACAATCTTTATTAGTCATCTTCATTTAAATAAAATATCAATGTTGCTTTTTTTACTAGTGCAAGTTAATTGAACTCTTACTTTTCTGAACTTTAATGCCTCGTATACAAACGGCAAACCCCTGCAGCATTCTTGGCTATTTTTGCTTTCAATATTCTTTCGTCCTATTTCCTTAAGACATTGTGGTTAATCATGGTTAACATTAACTAAAAATGACTTTTAAAAGATGATAACATTTTTTTCTAAGTGGTCACAGCCATTTCATAATAGCACTGGCCTAAAGAATTAGTCATTGATAGTCACCACAAGTATGCCACTTCTGCATCATTCTGATTCAGATTTTCACTTCTTGCAGTCACTTTCTCTTCTACTCCTGCTTGTGATTCAGTCTGTTGATTACGATGTTAACTTCATTTGGAAGCTGAATTTAAAACCAGTTTTAAAAATTGATTCTGTTTAGTTTCCATTTTTCCATGTGCTTCTTGTGGCTTTCTAGGGGAGCCCTTCTTCCACGGTGGCCTGTCAGTTATGTTATGACATTTCATCAGTCTTCAAGCAGTTTCCATTTTTTATGGACACTTTTTTATGACATCATTTATGACATTTCTACCACAAAACTCCTGAGACCCCCCACTGCCTAATTCACAGGATTTAAAAAAAAAACCCAACTCCAAATGTAAGACATTTACTAGAACATTGCTCTAATATGAAAAAGAAATACTGGGAGCACAGATTCTGGAGCTTTTTCTCTTCAAAGCCCACTTCCATCTCCTGAAAGAGGTTAGCGTAGTGTCTGCTGGGTTGGGCTCCCCAGAGTTAGTCCCAATCTCTCCTCTGAACCTTTGTGAAAAGAACAGGCAACTTGTTATTTTTCTAACACAGAAAGAAACAAGGTGCGAAATGCAGTAGTCTTTAAGGTACTGGCCACAACACGGTCACTAAACAACTATATACATCTATAAAGTAATAGGCTCTCAGGGGTAACTGAGTAACTGCACTCATACCTTCTTGTGGAACAGGGTAGCAAAAACTACCCTTGCCGATCTTTTTCCACCTCAGTCAGATGTAATAAAAGAAACATACAATCTTTATATAACCTTGGCATACACATGGTCATGCTATATCTTGAAATGTGGAAAAATAATACAGCAGTGGCAAAACAAAAGCCAAATTCATACAGTGTTTAGCAAAAATGCAGTACTCCCCTATGACTATGTCTTCTATGTGAACTTCAGCTTGTGGTTGTTAAATCAGCATCTCAGTTCCGTTTGGCTTGATTGCTTTCTCCATTGATCAGATTCTTCTCTTGCTGTTCAGCTAAGGCTTGCCATTTCTGCCTATTTTTTCTACAGCCATCCAGTAAAGGGTAGCAGGCCTCCGACACATGCGTTAAGGCCTGAAATAAACAAAAACCATGTGAACAAGAGCACTTCTAACAACAAAATAAGTGTTCTTAAAGATGGTCATGAGAGAGACCAGGACAATTGAAACACGAGAGCTTTCTGTAACTGAAATTGAACTTGTATTTTAAACTTCAAGGAAGGCTTCCTGCTGCATATCCAACACAAACACAATGACCTGGTACTAGTGCAGATCAGACTGAGCAGCAGTGTCCATACAGCACTTGATACATAGGTGCAGAAGGAATGGTACTAAGTTTGTTGAATTACGGTCAAGTGACCTGTCCAGTGTTTCTAGTGAAGTACTATGCATGGACTTTCTTTGCAGGCCCCTCCTCTGAAGGTTTAGCAAGGCTGGTCATAAGGACAACCTTGGAATGGTAATCAGACACAGAGCACATATAGTCAATGGGACCATATTCACCGAGCGTCTATTTATCAATTGTCCCAGAAATATTTGATTTCAAGAAGAATCCACACAATAGATAAATTGCATTTGCCACTTGGTGCCTTTTCAGAATAGCTGTGACTAAAGTCAATCAAGTATTTTTCATGATACAGCTGTATTACAGTATCAGAGTGAAGTAAAACTGGATTCTGATACTTAAATATAGAATAGAAAAAGTAAAAGAACAATTAATAAGCATTTTTGTAGTTTTTTTTGTCCTGATGGAAGTGATAAAAATGTATCCTGACACTCTGACAGTCAGTCCTTACTTGCACAAGGGGTTCTGTTGGCTTTTGGAATGAAGTCACACTATTCAGAAAGGTGAAGGGGGAGTTCAATAGTTCACACAGTGCAGGACAACAAGGTATAAGAGTGTTTGATTCTGTAACTACTCTGACTGACTGCAAAGTACACAGAGGAGAATCCTGGCCGCTCTGCTGGTCACTATACAAAATGGAAAATCAGTCAGAATTTCACACAGAATTCAGGTCTTAATGAAATTCGGCAAGGTAGCATGTCTAATTCTCCTCTAACTGGACACAGAGACCCTACTGAATATTGACTAGTATAAACCTTCATAGCTGTTTTTGGCTTTATAGGCTGTTTCATTAGTTCCAGTGGACTTAATCAATTATTCTTGATTTATAACACTACAAGAAGAGTGGGGCTGTCATATCTCCGGTGTTTTCCTGTTTTATTTATCTGAATATATCTAAACAGCATTTAAAACTGCTAAATCGTACTTCCTTCAACTACAAATCAAGAGAAGTAAATATATTGCTCTTATTATTTCAGATTTCTCAACTCAGAGGGAAGCTGTCTCAGCTGAACTGCACTATTTCCCTAGTTAAAGCAAGCCACAAAACTTCATTCAGATCTGGCCTACTCAGAATAATATGGTAAGTCACATACTTGCAGTTTTGTATTAGGAACTCACTTGTTTGCATTGTGTGTCAAATTCCTACTGACTGGATGAAAGCTAAGGAAGCAATGACATGGCTGTCTTTATAACCCTGTTTATGGTTTGCTTTTATAGCATTAGAATGTTTTCAAAGTAACACTGAAGTTGTTAATATGTTATACCACTTATTAGTCATCGATGAAAAAAATAAATCTGTGTAAGCAGGTAATATCCCCAACTTGTATGCGAGTCAAAATAAACAAACTCTAGAACATCTCAAACCACAGCCCCTTCCTCAGATTTACCCGTAGGCTCCCCATCCTCTTTAGTGCTCTCTGCCCCTGCAGGTAAGTCACTCTCATCTGTCTGGTGAGAGGCACGTTCTAGCACACTGGGAGCGTACAGAAGTCCCAGACGCTGTGAGCCTGCTACCTGCTGCTTCCAGGGCAGGTGAGACTTTGAGTCAAGATGACAGGTAAGAGTGATACACTGAAAGCTGTACACTGTAAGAGACAACATGTTCTGAACAAAAGGATGCTGCTTAGACTCCCTCCTCTGGACATAGCATCTCCTTCATTCTTCCACAGTTAAAAAGGAGGGAAAAGACTCCTGGAGGTGCTTTTGGCAGCTAACCAGGAATGGCTAGTATTCACTGCGGCACAACCAAGCTGCAGTTACAAAGCAGGAGGCAGAGTAGCTAAAGGTTACTCATGTTCCTCATTTCCGTGTGGGAACTGTACAGAAGCTGGACGTTTCAACTAGTGTCACTCGGTAACTGTTGATTTAAGCTGCAGTACGTATTTCAGAGTAAATAATTGAAAATTTTCTTGTCTTCTCATGAATAGAAAGGTAAAGCCCTCCCCTAACGAGAGAAAGTATACAAGTTCAGGACCGGGAGCTGTGGGCATTTAAATCTGATCAGGTGTTTATTCAAAGATTTTTCTGTTTGTATAGTCTGTACCTTTCTACAGTCATCTTCCAGTGACCTCTCTCCTAATAGAGACAGTTTCCTGAGGCTTCGCAGCAAAAGCTGCCTTATTTTTCTGATGGTTTCTACAGCACAGAAACATGGGAGTTTCAGGGGCAGCAGCTAGTAGCTCCCTCTCCTCCTTCTATCCTTCTTTCCTTCCAACTGATGGAAGTGGACTCTTTCCTAAAAAGTTTACTGTGTAAAGGGAAAAATTTGAGTAATCACCTTGTTCCTCCAAGCAAGATTAATCCAGCAAGATTATTAAGAGTTAAGCTATCTGTTCCTTTCCTTTTTCTCATACCAGTTGCTGTAAAACACCCGCTGCAGTCCCAATGAGCACACTTTCACTCTAGTGCTTTACTGGTTTAGAAAAATCAGAAGTATTTGTTTTGCTTCACACTATGTCGGGCCAAGTATCTTCTTCCACACTTTGTGACCAGGATAAAAACAAAACCCCATTTCAATGAATTCTCTTGCTTTTGTGTGTGATGAAAGCAAAAGAAAAAAATGGGATGAGAAATGTTAAACTTGAGTAAATTTCCTACACATAGCATATCACGTTTTCAATGAAGAATTGTGAATCCTTTGAAACTTTTAAAGAACACTTTTTATCAAGGCACTGTGTGGATACCATTCTTTTTCTAGATAGCAAAGCAGTAGGTTTTTGTGCCTTTTTCTGATGATCACAGCAGTTCACTGGAGCTGCTGGAATCCAGAATATAACCCAGGGATGTTAACACCAAGTGCACACAGCTCAGTAATTAGCACTAGGTCTTAAAAATTAGAACATATTAATCAGACAAACATACCATTAATGATAAATACTAAAATAATAATTTTGTCAACTGAATAGCAAACCTAGGGGTTTTTTAACTAAGGGACTAGTTTTTAATTTGATTTTTATTCTTATTTTAAATCTGCATCTATTAGAGGCTACAGTGAGCAGGACTGATTTTAGATATTCACAATTCTTTCTTAGGTATCATACCTCATACAGCTGCAAACAAACAGCATCTATGAATCCAACCTGCATGCTGGGAATTTTATTTTTCTTCTCTCTGTTCATTAGATCCTGCAGACACAAAGTAAACAAGTTCTGTGTTTAAATGCATTAAATAAAAAACACGACAAAAACAAAAAAGACGGGCTGGTATTAAAGCGCAGCGCCTTAAAAAGTGCAGCAAGCTCAGCACAGCAGGGTGTCAGTACAGTGTTACAATGCAGGAAGTCTGACTGCATGATTTGCTTCAGGGAAATTGTCCTTGGACCCTCAGAGCCCAAACACCTGGACAAATAAACAAGGTTACTGGTGTTGGCCAGCTTGCAAATACGTTGCAGTTTAGGGATGTATTTCCTAAAGAATTTAGCAATACCCACCTAGAAGAAATAATGCCATCTGTTCTTCTGGCTTGGAGATAAGGACACACCATTGGTGTCTGGGAACCCCAAAAGAAAATTGACTGCCAGGAAGACAGGGAAGGGGGCTTGGTCCTATATTCTGGTCAGTGGGAGAAACTGGGGGGTTTGAAAGGAACGTCAAGTGCTGTTTCAGAAGCCATTTTCAATTAAGTGATTCTGCGTGATTCTACCACTTACGGTTGGTTCAATGTTGAGTTCCTTCCGCTCCTTATCTCCTTGATCAAAGAACTCGGTAGCTACAAGCTCAGCAATCTGTAAGAGATACCACACAGTGCAAGCTCTGAAAGTTTGCTCACTACCTCCAGTCCAAACTGTTTCCTATTGCTCCTCAGGGTATATCAAATTGAGTGCCCCTGTAAAGAACCGCTTGCTAGCTTTTAGATTTCTACATGCCCACATCTGTGCACTAGCAAAACACCTGCGTGTACTGGTATTTACTCCGACAAAGCAAAGTGAATAACGGCACGTGGGCATCTTAGCAGTGATAACAGTTGGAATGATCAACACATAGGAAAAGGCCAACTGATACTGGTGTGTTGTATCAAATGATTCCCTTGTAATAACACAGAAATACTGGAAAGAACAAAGATTCCTGATTTAACTTCAGATTATTACTAACATGGTAACATAGCTAAATGCATAGATCTTACTGCAAACACCCGAGAAAGTCTTCAAGGACTTTCCTAAGGCTCTGCATCCCACCATTGTCTTTGCAATGAGGACCAGATGGAGGATGCAGAAGCTGTTACACGGAATTTTGGTTTAGCAGATCTTAAAATTAAGCATATACCCGTTGCTGAACTGGCCATGGTTTGGTTATGGCTGATAAATCACAAGCAGTCATCAGCATTGCTCTGCAGAAAAGAAAAAAAAGAAATGTATGTAGCCACCAGGCCAAGTAATTAGTAAACTAGAAAATAAAACTTCTAGGAACACTAAAGTCAGAAAAGCAAGTGAAATTAAAGTGAAATTATAAAGGTATCCAAGGCTCGATGATGTGGCAGACTTTCACCTGTGTGAAATGAACAAATCTGGACTGACTCCTTTGGTGGAATCACATCAAATGTTTTATTCTATTTCCTACAGGACAGGCAGCACATTTATTTATTTCTGACATTAGCAGTGACTGCCGTCTTTATTGACAGTATGAGGGCCAAGGACTGAACTAGGAAAAGAACAGAACATGGCTAAATTAGACTAGTTCTTAAAGGCATGGATTTCAATATACAGCATCCTTGCTTTCTGAGACAGCCTACGTAAGCCCGCTTGTCTGTAGGGGTGCATTACACTCTGCCTCTATTCTTAACTGTCTGTTTTCTTCACTCCTCATAAGAAAGCCACTTCAAACCAAACTGTCCTGAATCTTGAGCACTTTCAACAATTCAGGTGTAAAGTAAAACCAGCAAAACAACATGGTGCCTAGACAGGAACCCTACACTCTTTAGGGAGAACAGAAATGCTCATGTGACTCCATGTGCTGCATAGCAAAGTTTACGATGCAGACTGCAGATGTAATAATTAAGACCAAGGGAGTCTTTCAGTGACCTACGTGCCAGTGCCAGTTTTGTACAGGCCCAGAATACACAGATGTGCTGGGTTTAATGAAATTCACAACATAGCATGGCAAATTCGGAACCTAATTATATGAACTACTTCTAATCATTCTGGTTTTACTTACAAAAATAGCTCTTTCTGTGTAGGATCTTCCCAATTAAATTGCTTCTTCCGTAGAAGTTCAAAAAATTCTCCTCTCCTCCTTTAAAAGAAGTTAAAACAAAAGATTACGCGGCATGCTGACACAATCCAAAGATCCAGCAAAGACTATGCCGCCAAACCTGCCTCTAACTTACTTTATGTATAGCGCTAGGTCTGTGGCAAGAATGGCTTGTTTTATCATTTTCAGTGTGGCCTTGTATTCTTCAATGGAAAGGCTGCTGAGAATCTGATTTCCCTTTAAAAAACAAAGAAAGAAAGAAAGAAAGAAACAACCCACACCAAAACCAGAGAGATAAGTAAAATGGGCAGCAGCACACCAGTGTGCTAAAACGTCTCTAGGATACTAAATCACTGAACTGCTTGTTGATATGTCATTCTTTTACCCTGCTTCCGTTCGCAGATTCCCCTATTTAAAAATAAAAAATTCCAGTTGTCTTGAGTAATGGCAGAACGCCACAATGCAGCAGCATCATATTGACTACTACAAAATTAAATTGTAAACAGAGCGACATCAAAGCCTTTAAGTCCATTTCATTCATCTCAATTAAATTTGCCACTGGCTGTGTAGCAGCATTTTGCTCTCCTCTTCCTGCCCCCTCCCTGAAGCAGAGGGACTGTAAGAGATCCCAGTACCTGCCTAAACACCTCACATCAACAAGAATACTTTCCTTTTATGAAGCCACACAAATAACAAGCTATTACAGAGAAATATAAGCTCAGCAGCCCACTGTTACACCAAAGCACTGTGAAGCTGATCAAATGGCAATTTTCCTCTACTTCTTTGCATTATTTTCCTGTCTGAAAAGGCAGGAATCATTACAATACAAATGATGCTGGAAGCACCATTCCCATGATACAAAATTAGCAGTGAAAATAACACTGCTTTGAAATGCTTGCGCATGCTGAATAACTGGTCTTAGAATTAGTTAATAATATCAGACAAGAAGAATGTAGTTCTATTTGCATATTTACTTAACTTAGGTTTGGCTTCATTTTGGAATGTCAACATTAGCAGTGTTTGGTTTGGTCTCATTAGGACTGCTTTGTGTATGTGTAGGCCAGAATGTTTTTTGAAATCAGAGCAAGGACTTGAGTTTGTTTGGTGGTTCACAAAAGGTCATGAAAATGGCAACAAAGTCCTTTTTTCCCTTTTGGTCCAAGGAAGCAGGTACTCAAAAAAGACATTATCAAGGCTTCCCTTATCAGGCAACACTTGGAAAGGTTTGGTGGCGCTCTGCAATGGAACTGTGATTTCCAAACTGCTGCATTTGCTTTCTTTACCCAAAAAGGAATAAAGATCACTTAGGAATGTATAAGGATGGGAATCTATCCAAAAGCTAAAAATAAAAAGTAAAATAGGGAATAGTTTCCTGCAGCATACATGAAAACGTGGCACTCACTGGACTATTCAGGATCATAAGGCATTGATCGAAATGATGATGCTCCATGATTGAGTGGCAATACAGTTGAGCCAGCGGATGTTCGCTTCTGAAGAGTAAAAAAACCCATCAGATGGAGAAATCAAATTAAACATACCATTAATCCAGAAATAAGTTCCCTTTTAATGACCTCTTCTCATGATCAGTTTACCCTCACCCACGCTTTTTCTTAACTAGTTCCTTTACCCCTCTGTGTACCTGGCCAAACGAAATGAATACATTCGGAAGGATACAGGGAGAGTTACAGATTAAAAAGACAATGCTGATACTTCCTCAGAGCATCAACAACTCTCGTTTTCTACCTTCTGTTAGATGTGAGAATGAAAAAAAAGCTTCTACAAAGAGTGCAAGTTCTGGCATCAAAAGAAAACACAAGAAGGTTCATCCACAAGCAAAATTTAAGTTACAAACTTGTTTTTCCTAACATTTAAAACACTTGCCTGGCATATTTAGTGAGCTCAAGTACTTGTAAGTAATAATGCAGACCTAATGGAAACCCCACTGATACCAGTTGACCTCATGGGGCTCTGGTGCAGGGCCCAAAATGTTGATCAAGTCACTTCCCAGTGTCAGTAACTGCACTGGTATTCATCACCACTCTCTTCATGACCAAAACTACCACAATATCGTTACCTACTCTTTGCCCAGGGTAAAATCCAAAAAGGAAACAAGGTCGTGGTTGTACCATGGGCAATGAAAAACAGCATGAAACTAACTGTGCAGCTACAGAATGTAAAGCTATCTTAGTCCAGAAAATTGGATTTGTTTGACTAGCTTAGGCAAACAAGGAAACAAGGTCGTGGTTGTACCATGGGCACTGAAAAACAACATGAAACTAACTGTGCAGCTACAGAACATAAAGCTATCTTAGTCCAGAAAATTGGATTGGTTTGACTAGCTTAGGCAAAATTTTCCTCCTCTTTGAGGATTTCTAATTTCCCCCTGTTCCTCATTGCACAATATTGTTCTTTTCTTTTGCCCCTGGTCCCATATTGCTTACATTCTCTTCAACTAAATCAGGATTCTTTTGGAAGTCTGTTTTGCTCTGATCCTGAATCTATTACTCTAATTAGAATCTGACCTACAAGTGTTTAATTGTGTAAGAAATTCTTTTTTACCATGTAGTTCCCTGGGAATTTTTGTATGGTTGAAGATCATTCACATGAATCAGTTGTTGCAGGATTTGGTCCTTATGTAAGTGAGTGCACACAGAGACTCAAATAAAAGTCGTAAGAGGAGACTCCAGGGATTTAAGAAGCACAAAAATGCAGAGAGAAAGATGGAAAGACAAACAAAAACGCGGAAAGGGAGATTAAAGGATGCAAGCCCCTGAGAATTATGGGCTGGCTGCCCAGCACCTCCTCTGAGACCACCACAAAAGGAGCAGGGAGCAAACAGGCTTGCGTCTCTCTGTGAGGAAACAAAGTGAAGGATGGTGCCAACACACGCTGGGTGAATTTTTTTTAGGATGCATACTGTGTCCCCTAAAGTTCATCCTGACTGATGAGAGAAATATGTGAGAAATATCTTGGGTTATCTTCCCAAGTACTGCACCAGACGAGAGCTTGCTCGGTACTTGCAGACTCTGCCTGTCTGGGAAGACACAAGTGCTGGAAATAAACTCAGGTTCTGCATCACACGGCACTTCTGTTAAACCACCAGGCCAGGGCAAAGGACACCCTTGCTTTCTGAACACAGTGGTTTGGTTATGCAGATTTCATGCTCTGTGCTTGCCTGCTTTACATGTGGGTTTGGAAGAAAAAGAAAATAAAACCTCTGCACATCTACCAGAAGACCTTTAAGCAGTTCATTTCCTCCAATTTCAACTACCAGGACCATTTTAATTTTTGAAACCCTGCTGCTTAAGAAAAGAGTCGTCTGCTAAGCATCCCCTCTCCCTGCTTCAAAAGAAGAATTAAAAGGGATCCGTTCTGGAAAAAAATAACTTTTCATTTAGACTTAAATGAGGGATTTAAAAACAGAATTCATGGAACTTCCTATCGAAGATAATTAAGCTGTAACCATCTTCACTTTACAGCATATGTGAATGCTAGATTTTGCTGTCTATGACACTTTCCCAGGACATTTTTAAGAGGAGATGACGCATCTCCAGATGTCTTCCAGGAAATTTATTTTTAAATAAATAAAGCAAAAAATAGCTAACCAGTTCCAATCACTGCAAGGCTACAGTTACTGCTGGAATCTCTCCCCCGCCTTTTAGTTTTTGCTTTACACATCAGTTTTAGTATTCTGAACATATACGAGGCAGAAATTCTGCCTAAACTTATTTTCTGCCTTTCTGAGTTCCCTGCCTCAAACTGTTCCTCCCCTAGTATCTTAGCTGACACATGGTGAGAACAGCAGACCGCTTCTTCCAAAGGTAGCTTTGAAACCACTCTCTAACTCTGCCAGAAAAAAATACAAGTATACATTTCTGGGTATCTTTTCCCCGTCTCTGGTCAGATCAGGACACACTGCCCTATCACAGTAATCACATTATACCATGGTTTAAGGCAAACTCTTTATTTAATCAACTAATTATATACTGCTATTTGAAGTGAATACTAAATTCAATGAAAAACACATTTTGGCCAGCTCCGAAACTACTAATAAATTCTAAAAAAAAAATTAAAAAAAATCACATTATCAAATCAATTAGGCTGTACTTAATTTAGCTCTTTGATTTTGGTAGTCTTTTGTTTTTATTTAACTCCTCTCACACTTACCTTTGTATGTAAGAGTTGTTCACTCCCCTGTGATCCAAATCATGGCTCAGAGTTGCTATCAGCAAAGCCAGTGTTTCTAAGTCAGTCAGTTTGCTCTGTATATAAAGAATTCATACAAGAAGCGAGTCAGCTTTGTGATGGGAATTTATTCTGCACAATGTGTTTCATATATGCTCTCTTATCTTTACCCAAATAGCAGATAAAGTTCTGGCCTGAGGAGGACCAGGAGGAATAAGGGTTGTCTGTGAAGTTGCAGCATACAGTAATAATCATCATTCTCCACAGGCCTCAATGCAGTTTTCAGAAGGAATATCATCCACCCCTGTATATACACTGATAAGAAAACTGATACAG